TAAAGCCATTTCAACTTTAATGCTGTTCTCTTCTGATTTCAGAAATAGCCTATTTATTCTGTGATTATGGGCAAGAGTAAACAGATTCCCTAGATGGTCTTCACCAAAGCCAGGCGTTTTTCACCATTTTTAACTTTCAGTCCCACATACCATGAAAGTATAAGTACCAAATTAATAAAATCCTAGGTCTTTTGCTGTGATATTTCTGTTATGGCAGGAACACAGAACTTTCGAAGAACCTAATATTAGTTTATTCCTATGTGATACCTTTGGGTTTGCCTCTTAAACTCAGGGAAGTATCAGGGTAATTTGCTTTCTGTGTTCTCATCATGGAAATGCAAATTACTGCACAGCAGGCCAGATGTTGAAGAAAGTAGGTGCTTTGGTACAAGGTTTCCAACCTGAGTTCTAGCCTGAGGAGTTAGTTGAGCAGACAAATCTCTGCATCCTTTGAAGTTCGTACTGAGTCTAGATAATTCTGAATTCAGAAAAAGTTCATGTCCTGGATGAGTTTCTAGTAACTGAGGGACAGCATTCTGAAAAATGATTTATTAGTTACTTCAAAACAAAGTAGGGTCAACATTAGAGAGAGCTTGATATTCATAGGAAAACCTACCACTCCTACCATCCCTCCACCATTTTGCTCTGTGAGTAGGAAAAACAGCACACACATTTGCAGCCTGCAGGGCTTTACTGCCCCTTGACACTTTTGCAGCTCCAGACTTGCTTCTCAGTGTTTTGAGCAATATGGGAGCTACTGGAGTCAGTGGAGAACAAGAGGGCTTTCTGGTGTGCTGCTGGTGAACTTCAGAGCTTCCGAGGAGAAATGTCATCTGCTGTCCCCCAACTTTTTGCCTGTAGGTGTTCTTTGAGAAAAAGCTAGTAATGCTTGTTGCATAGTGCTTGCACAGGTTTGGTAGATAAAATACAGCCTAGTAATATGAGGCAGCTGTGAACCTCGTTTTTCAAGCAGCACGTGGGTCATGAGTGACTCAATTGTTATTGAGCAAATGAATGCAAGAAAAAAGGAAACTTTCTTCACTGAGACAAGCTGTCAGCCTCCCTTGACCTGCCCTCCTTGTCTTCTGAGTTAGCACCCTGTGTGCCTTTGAGTCGAAAGGCAAGACAGCAGAGTGCTTGTTGCCAGTGAAAACTGTGCCAACGAGATGGGCTTAAACCAGAGAGATGTGATTTCCTCTGAGTGAGAATAAGAGTGAAGTAGAGATGGAGGAAAGGGATGCAAAATATTGCATGTATCCCTCTAAGGGTCGCATTGCCCGCGTGTTGCACTTTGTCATTAGCTGAATCACTGGAGCATCCTGTCAAATCAGCCTCCTGCCTAGATTTTTAAAACTTCTAATTGGCACCTGCATGGTACCCACACGGCTACATGTTACCAATGCAACTCCATTTGCCCTGCACAGCCTTTCACAGCTGTTTCCCCCAGTTTCAAGATGCAGTCAGTAACCTACTATGGCATAAGGTAACCCTGGCTTTGGTTGGGACCCTGTGATGTGACCTGGCTTTTGTGCGACAGGAAAGCTTCACTTTATTCCTTTCGCTTTTATCCATTAAGGAAATGTTTCTCCATGTTTCCTGTTTATCACAAACTCTGAGCCTCTCTAGACAGGCTATTCTGAGCTTGTTCTGCTTTCTGATAATTGCATGTACATTAAAGCAAACACCCCTGCAGGGTTTCTCCACTCCCCTGTCCTTGCCAGCTCGGAGCTGGACAGCGTTCCGTGGCTTGCAAGCACAGGGCTGCGCAAAAAAGGCATGCCAGGGGCTGGCAAAGCTCTGGGGAAGAAGGCAAAGCTGCTATTTCTGGCGTCTCTTATTTTGCCAGTGAGTTTAGATACCTGTCCTTTCCTAATGACATGATGGCTGCTAGATCCTCCTGAGCCATGCATCGGTGACATCACTATTGAGATCTACAGTCCATGTCCAGCCATATCAATTTCTGGCTTCTCTGTGGGGATATGAAAAATGAACAAGATCCGGGAGAGTCACCCATCAGTAGTGACTTGCAGTAGTAATTTTGAGAAGGTGGTTTGTTGCATATTTCTGTGAACTGTTGTTTTTCTTTCAAAGGGAAAAGAGACAGAACACTGCTATAAGATTTTTGAGGATGATCTTTACCAGATTGCTGTTTAGAGAGCTGGGAATCTCTAGATCTTAAAGTAATTACAAGCGTTACTATCTTGTGCCTCTACCTGGGGTAAAGTCCTGGACTACAAGAAGTACAGTAATGACACTTTTCCTTCATAAATGCCCTTCCTTCCACTGAAGGATTATACAAAGTCTTACTTGAGATGAGTAGATTAGTTTTGTCCTTGGTTTACAGATAGAAGAGGTAGCAGACTGAGGAAAGCTGACTGCTGCCTGCGCCAGAGTGATGCAACACACCACTGAACTGAATACACTGCAGTGAAATGCTGCCAGGCACATCAAGATAGATACTTCCTACCTCCCTGAGGTTGAAATCAAGACCTCCAAAACTGTATTTCCTCTCAGGATTTAGTTCCCAAGAAGTGAAAAATATGCACAGACCTTTTCACACTCGCACACTTAAAATGATGAAAGTAAAGAAACTCAGGTTATTTCTTTTTTAATTGGTTTCTAGAGTGAATCTGTAGGTAGTAAGTAGATATTCCCTTTCTACTCTGATTGTCTGTTATTGAACATAGGCCATGCAGTGCTGTAGCTGAATCCCCTCGTCCAAGTGGTAGTCATAAGTCACTGCCTGTTCTCATGCTTTAGGACAGTAACCAAGCAAGGACCCTGACTGGATGCTGCCATCCATCACTCACTTGGTGTGAACTTATGTTGCCAGTGAACCAACCAAGAAGTTTTTCAGAAGTGAGTCACCAATGCAGTTAGACAGCCCATCGAATGGAATTTTATCTTACCTAGGCAGGATATCCTCCAGGAGGGAGAACATGGTTGGATGATCCTTTTCATAGCTAATGCAATGGTCACATTCCCCATGAAATACCTGGTCTTCCCCATCCAAAGGGAATTTTGTTGGAGTTCCAGTTTCTGAGCAGCTGCAGTACATGTTGCTAATGGTAAACCTCAGTACTTTTGGAAGAATATTATGGGAGTGGGTGCTCCTTCTGTTTTGTTTTTCCTCATTTTTGAAGCAAATCCAACTTTTATCAGTTATAATGTTGAACAAGCCCCGTGCAAATAACAGTGCATTATCTTGTAAGAGAGAAGACTAACAGGTCTTTTTGAAGAGGAGACAAAAATGGAATAAACTAGCTACTCCCTGGGTTTCTGTTGGAATAGCTGTACAGTTGAAATCTACCCGACTTTTGTTTCCTGTTTTTATAAGTGGCTTTCATCAAAGTGCTGGTCATGAGTAAGTTAACGCCTACAGAGCTGTCACTGTCAAGTACTGTGTATCACTGAATTCATAGCAGTTCTGGCAGTGCTGAACTGTGTGCGTACGTGTTTAAATGCATTCCCCACTTCTCTGAAGGAGTTATTTCCAGAGATCCCAAGTGTGGAAGTGGATCTCTCAGATGACTTTTGACTCTGCAGAGGGGGGATAAGTATCTTTGAAAGACTTAGATTGGCACATGTACAAATAGCCTTTCCTCCATCCTGATACGTGAGGAAGGCTAAGGATGATGTAGTGCAAGAGTTGCTTCTGCTGGTTTTATGTGGTGCTGTAGAGGAAGAGAGATCTGGGGTGATAACCAGCATGCTGGGAAATCCTCCTCCTCTGCACAGTGCTGAAAACTACCACTTTTCTAATTTCCTGCAGAGTATCTTACTGACATTCAGGTAAAGTCTTTGTTCAGGCTTATAGCAGAGGATGTTCTCTCAGGAAGTTAAAGGACATCGAGAACTAAAGGTGTACTGGGGCAAGTTCCTAATTACTCGTCTGATCCCTGCAAGGAAGATAGTAAGGAATGGTTTTGTAGTTTGCTTGTGTTTTGTTTGTTAATATAGCAGCTCCAGGGCAATCTGTTATTTGAAGGACTGGAAAAAACCCTACCTAGTTATCTTTGTTTGCTTCTTTAGGTCTTATCCCTGCCTTTGTGGATTCCTAGAAATTTGTTGTGCTCGACTGTGTTGTTGCAGAGTTTATTTCACTTATCTGAGGTCTCTGCAGTGCTACATTAACTCCCTTCAACTCAGCCTAGGTCAAATCAGAGTGGTTACAGTGGTTTCGAGCAGCAGAGCAATTTTACCAGGAGCTTCGGAATTGCACTGACTCCATCTCTAAAGAATACCTTTAGCAGTCACAATAGGAATTTTGGGTGAGAACAAGGCTTGCACTAATTACAAGGACTTAGTCACAACTTGTTAACTCTGTGTTGAAGACATGCTCTTAGAAGTAGCCATACTTGGACAGACTGGGAATTAAGAGAAAGTACAGTCTTACGCTTAAGGCTCTGAACACTGGCATCTCCAGTAATCTGGCTTAATTTCTTGTTGTGCCTTGTACTTCTTATGTCACTTCTTATATTTCTTTCCCTTTCTGTGTCTCAGTTCTGCAGCTATAAATTCACATTCCTGTTTGTCTCCTCCCCTGCATACATGGCAAGTTCTTCAGGATGGGTATATTAGTTGAGTATGCAATACATAGTGCAGCATGGCTGTGGAAGATCAGGAGAGCCCTACATGACATCTTGAGAGTTTCTGTGCTTTGAGAATATGTCATTGGCTTTGGATTGTGAGGCAGGAGCAACCTTGAATGCTCATTTAACTCCCACAGCTAATTTTCTGTTGTAGATTTGGGACTTTTCCTTCAACCTTGAAATTTTGCTGGTTTTCTGTTCTGCAGGGCAGGGAGTGCTGAGACTGAATAAATTGAATTTTTCTTAAGTTACGTGAGTGCTAAATAAGATGCATTGTTACAATTTTCCATATCCACTGCGTATAAAGAGGAGTGGAAAATGAATAAATGAGAAGAAAATGTGTGATGATATCTAATGTATTCTGAGACCAAGCTTCTAACCTTCTCTGTTTCTTTTTCTTTCTTCCAGGTGGAGCGGGAAATAGCCATCCTGAAGTTGATAGAACATCCCCACGTTTTAAAGCTGCATGATGTTTACGAAAATAAAAAATATTTGTAGGTATTACTGGCTTTTGCCAGAGAAAGGGGAAGGGAAGGAGGAAGGAAGGGAGGGAGATCAGGGGTTTGGAACTTGGTAACATTTCTGGAAGAATGGAACAGGTGTGTTTTCACCCTCTGCTGGTGTCTGTGTGATATTTGCTACTTGGATGAGGAATGAACACTCATTATTTCCCTGTTTTTTCTCATTTTCTCTGTACTTTCATAGAATCATTAAGATTGGAAAATATATCTAACATCATCATCCAACCATTAACCTGGTGCCACCATACTCACCACTAAACCACGTCCCTGGGTGCCAGGTCCACATGTTTTTTGAACATTTCCAGGGATGGTGATTCCACCATTTCCCTGGACAGCCTGTTTCAATGCCTGACCATTCTTTCAGTGAAGAAATTTTTCCTGATATCCAATCCAAACCTCCCTTGGTTGCAACTTAAGGCCATTTCCCCTCATCCTGTCACTTGTTAACTGGGACAAGAGACCAACCTGTCTACAGCCTCCTTTCAGGTAGTTGTAGGGAGTGATAAGGTCACCCCTTGAGCATCCTCCTCTCCAGGCTAAACAGCCCCAGCTCCCTCAGCCACTTCTCATAAGACTTGTGCTCCAGACCCTTCATCAGCTCTGTTGTCCCTCTGTGGACGTGCTCCAGCACCTCAGTGTCTTCTTTGGAGTGAGCCTTTACTTATATGCTGTTTCTTTTTTTACTTAAAATTGAGGAGAGAGGACAAACCAATATTTTCTATCAAACAGCAAAAGAGGAGAATGGTTTGTACGTGTAAGATCTGGAACCATTTTGAATCAAAGCTGTAATAGTCTTACAGTGTATAATTTGGATAACCTCCTTTGCCTAACAGTTTTCACTGAAGCCCTCAACTCTCATTAAAAGTGTTTTAAATTTTCCCCATCAATAACAGTTTTGGGTTTTAAGGGCCAGTGAAATCTCCTGATGGTTCAGTAGTAACAGTTATGTAGCAAAGCTTTTTTTTTTTAAGATTTTTTTCTCCCCAGATCATTACCAGTGCTAGACAGGGATGTTGTCCACAGACAAGCATTTTAGCTTGATTTAGGGCACTAGATATGTTGGATCTGTTGTCAAACAAACAGGCCACATTAATCTTGGTGCAACAGGAAAAAAAATCAATGTTCTCCAAATGGGAAATGGTGACCCAGTAGGGAACTTAGTGTTATTTTCAGCTTTTTAACAGGTTATTACAAGTAGAAGAGAGTGGTTAAAGGAAGGTTAAACAGTTTTTAAAAGCCACTATCCATTGGTGACTTCTTTTTAATGTCACAACACAAGAAGGGAATGACTGTTTATCTAAAGAAAGTGTGTTGAATGGAAGTAACAGTCCCTTATGGACTATTCAGCCAGTCTTGTTACTGGAGCAATGAATTCCTGTTCTGAGAAGTGAGACCTCTTTGCCTAAGGGTTAGCTTAGTAGAGCAGGCAGTAATTTCTTTTGTATTCCCCACACTCCTTTGGGGCAGAGCCTGCCATCCACAGTGAAATGCAGTTGCCAGAAAGAGCTTGTGCAGGCACTGGGTGGAAGCTGGCTCAGGTGTTCTCAGAGCTGCATGCTCAGTGCTCTGTCCTCAGTGGCATAAGTGGTCATGGCTCCATGAAGCCCAGTTTACCCCAGCTGAGGACAGAGGCACAGATCTAACACAGCCTTTTCTGTGTGCAGAAGGGTAGCAGTGGAATATCAGGCTTTACAGGGAGTAAGTTTGCCTTTAATCCTGAAAAGAGAGGCACCGTTGGTGAAAGTACATTCCTCTGTATTCTGGTTTAACGGGGGGGGTAGGATGAGGCCCAAGGCTTTCTTTTGATTAAGATAGAGAAAATATTCCTCTTTGTGATCTTTATTTGTTTCTATGTTGTGTAATCCTAGGTATGCACACACTTAACATAAACATAGCGTAGAGCCGATGTGTTCCAGATAGGTGTGGTATACTTTAGCAGCAGTGACAATGTATGAATACATGCAGGAGAAGGGCCATGAGGGGATGTGTTTTAAAGCTGCTGAAGCTTTATTAATGCTCTAGATGCCTGTGCAGCCAGCAGCTGAACTGACCTATTCTTCTTTACTCCAAAAGACTTGGGGGCTGTTCTACTCCTTGTGAAAGATATCTAGTGCTCAGAGCAGTGGGGATGGTGTTACACCATTATTTCCAAAAAAATATTGCATTTCTTGGCAGGAAAATATCTTCCTGATGAAGATCACCTTGAAAAGAAAAGCATCCCATATCTTTAAGCTGTATCTGGATATCCTGGCTTCTAAAAATGTTGGGCTCCAAAGCATGCTTTCCCAGTGACCATTTAGCCTTTAACAATCACTAAGTCTGCGTTGTGCTGTAGCTCCTTTGCCTGTAAGATTAAGCTGTCTGAATCCCCCTGAAAAGGCACCCTCTGCTGAAAGACACTGATTCTGAAAGAAGCAATGACTGTTAATTATGTTTCATTTTTTATTAGTCACTATTTTAAAGAAAGGGCACAATGCAGAGCTCCTGCCAAGCTTCCATGTTCAGAATTAGAAACAGCTGTGGCCTTGGATAAATCTGAGACGTGGAAGAGAGTGCCTATGGAGGGGTGAGGTATTACAAGTGTGTGGGGGCCGAGAAGTGTGTGTGCATGTACTTTCCCAAGTAATAGACATGGTGACCTCTGGTTATCACCAGCATCAAAAAAGGGATTGCTCTCTGGTGGTGGCAGCACCTTTCCATCATGCATGCCATCTCAGCAGTAACAGCAGTGGCATGGTTTCAGAGGAGCTCATGAATTATGGGTGATATTTCAGAAGCCAGAGACTAATCACAATGCAGCGCTGGGGAGTATTTCCTCGATAAATGTTAATTTCACAAATCATGTTTGACTTTTAGTTTATGATTTAATTTGTGACAAGGGGCTTTGGTTGAGTAGATTCCTAATGCAACCATGAATCAAATCCTTTTTCCACAGTTTATTTAACACTGAAAATGAGTTTTAAAAAATAATAATAAAAATCTGGTAGCATATGTGTGTTAGCCAAGCAGTCTTTCTCTGTTTGTTTTAGTCGGGTTCTTTTTGCCAAGATGGTTGGAGAGATGGAGAAAGCTATGAGATCTAAGATTTAATGCTCTAAATGCTCTTTATCCAGCATTTTGAGTTATCTTATTTAGTAAGACTGTGGACTATAGATCTAGGAGCATGGGGGAAAACATGGTTGCACTGAGGCTCTCTGTAAGTGTGCTGATATACCACCTCAGATATACATTTTGTTGGCTAAACGAGCAGTATTACTGACAGGTGGGTTATTTTGTGTTTGTTGTACGATGAAGCTGATGGCCTTCAAGCAAGGTTGGGAGTCCACAGTAATAGATAATTTAGAAATAGCCATAGACGATTAATGCCTCCCTCTCTCCCATCATATAATGTTAATAGACAAAACATCCAGGAAGGGGGATCATCCTCCAATTTTAAATATCAAAAATGAGTCAAAGTGGCCTGGTACAGGACATGATCAGTGAGCTACCAAAATTTCTGTGTGTACCAGTCATTTTGAGTAATGAAGTTCAGATAGTCAGGAATTTTAGGGTAATGTAAATCATGGAATCATCACAGAACGGGTTTGTTTGGAAGGGACCTTAAATCATCTAGTTCCAACCTGCCTGCCATGGGCAGGGACACCTTTGATTAGATCAGGTTGCTCAGAGCCCTATCCAACCTGACCTTGGACACTTCCAGGAATGGGGCATGTACTAATGAACTAAGGGACTGAGCAAGTCAGTAACAAAGTTTCTGTGTGTTCTGTAATGCCTGTCATCAGAGGGGACACACTCCTTTGGTCACGCGGTTTCTGCATTGCATATGAACTGTGTGAACCTGGGTGATGGTCCTATTTTCTCTGTGCTGTGTATAGAAAAGGTCTTTCCTGAACTGACCCTACACAGTGTTTGTGTAGCGACTGGAGAGGAAGGTGGAGTTCGTACACTGTTAGCAGCACTACCACTGTGAATGAGCAGGAGATTCTCATTAGCAGACTTGTTGAGGATTAAAGAAGAGGAAACATGCAAAGCCCAGTCCTTCATGAAAGGACTGGCTCGGATGTTTTCTAGGAAGAAATCTTATGCTTTATTCTTAAATCTGTTACATATATTTACTGCATTTCATTTACTGTGTTTTATGCAGTACAGTTAGCTTTTGTTTTGATCATAGAAAAGCAATTGTCCCACTGTTGGAGGAGCTGTTAGCATAGCAAACTAAGTGCTATCGTACAGTCCACAGTAGATGGAACTTGCCGTTCCAGAGGGGATAAAGCTAACTGATACAGTTCTATTGCAGAACCCCCAACAGAGGTGGCATTATCTGTTTTGAACTCATTTGATTAGCTATTTAGTTTAAATTGCCAGGGGGTTGGTGGGGAGCAGAAATAAAATAGAAAAATAACATACTAGGACCACTCCATGTTTTCTTTCGGATGTTTATACTGATATTTCTCTATTGCCTTTCCATCCATGTTTATATATCTATATCTCTATCTAGCTATATATATATCTGTACATTTCTGTTTCTGGGTGCATACAGATATTTGTGTGTAGATTTATACTGATTAATTTCGAAATCTTCACATTTAAGATTTCAAATTTTCAAATTTTTTGGCAGCGTTTATTTTAAATCTCTATCTTGTCCAGCTTGATCAGCATTAAGCAAGAATCTGTTTTGAGAGAAGGAGTGGATGCCAGGCTATTGTTCTCTGAAGTGTGCCATGCATTCATCAGCACCTTCTCCAAGTAGAAGTACCTTTCTCATCATTCAGTAGTACAATGCTATCACTGGGCAAGGGCCCAAGCCTCACTGCAGTGTACACAACACACCACCTCCTGATTACAGAGGTGAAGGTGCATCACAATGAGCCAGATAACAAAATTAAAACGTCCTCCTACCTACACACAACTTAAGTTTCTGGCTTATACAAGATCAGCTGACAGCAGGAGTTGAAGACGTACAACTCTGGTGG